TCCCCTTCTGGTCTGTAAGTCGATTCTCCGGCCACAAGTCGAAATGAAACTTTGAGGCTGGAGAAGTCCATAGGTTGAAAAGTATGTAAGTGGAGCCGTCCGTAAGTCGAGACTCCACTGTATAATTAACATTTCAAGAGACTTGATGCCTTGTACCTGCTTTATTACTTGTCTTGTATGTTGGAAAATTAATATACTTTTGAAATATATTCATGAATGTTTTGTTCTTTTCCCTTATTTTTTCTGTTTCCTTAAAAAGAGTTATTTTTGATCATTTGATGTCATTAGGAAATGAGTTCAAAGCCCTATGTACACATCCTGTTGTGGTAGTGTGGATACCCATCTTTTATAGCAGCAGTCCTCAACCTTTTTGGGACTACGGACCAGCTGAGCGTCAGAGGAAGGCAGGGCACCCCCCGTGGGCATGCACACTCTCTTGGGCGCATGCCCGAAGTGGTGGGGGAGCATGGCCGCCAGCGCTGGTGTGAACACTTCCCCACCCCTTCATGCATGCGCAGGAGTGCCTGCGCGCGCACGTGCCCACCCCTTCGCGCAGGTGCTCAGACGCATGTGTGAAAGGGTGGGGGAGCACTCACACTGGCACACACTCGTGTACGCAAAGCAGCTGTGGGGAGGGGAGTGTGTGCGGGGGGGGCGGGAGGTCTGTCTCCATGGCCTGGTCCGGCTCAGGGGTTGATGATCTCTGTTTTATAGGATAGGTATCCACATTACCTAACAAGCATCAAAACATATTTGTTTTATGTTACTTGGTTTGGCAAGAACTAAAGCAAATTCACAATTCACCATTCACAATTCACTCTGCACTCTGCAGTATATCGGTTTTATCCTATTTCAATGCTTCTGTTTTTTTAAAAAAAACAGTTGAAGTGTTGCTACTACAAAGTTTGATTTCTCTCCTCTCTCACTTTTCCATCCATTTCTAAGTACTGCAAGACACAGTACTTAGTTGAATGCACAAATTCCTTTATGCATTCACAGTTCAACTCTAAAAAGAGGATGTTTCTTGGCAGGTGGTGTTATGACCTTAGTAGTTTAAATGCTTCCTAACAGTATGCGTTTTCAGTTCTTAATATAAGTGTCTAGAAGAATATATTGTTCATGGAAAAGCTTGGTCAATTTTTTCCTGATCATCAGTTGACACTTTTTCTACAAATATCGCTACTGATTCCAAGTATGTTTTTAGATGCAGTGTTTGTTTACCAGATGCTGTTATTGCTCATGAGGAGATTCTTTGTGATGATGCTAGTGGCAAAAAAGGAGCAGAAATACAACTTTGCAATGACAATTATAGGGAAAATGGTCTTGTACATTCATCATCATTATCCTCCTCAATTAGATCTATGAAGGATTTTTTAAATGTCTACGTGACAATTCTTACATGCAGGGATATATATATTTTGATATATTTTATCATGACAAAAATGAATGGGTTTTAGTATAATTAATAATGTGAAGCAGTGTGTTTAAAATATGTAATTCAGTACTTTCTACTGAATAACTTTGGCTGTATTTTGAATCTATAAGAGGGATATATCATATGCAACTCTCTATCTCTTTTGTAGATGATGTCTTGCATACACTAACTGGAGCAATGTCCCTCTTGCGACGCTGTAGAGTGAATGCAGCACTGACTATACAACTCTTCTCCCAACTATTTCATTTTATCAACATGTGGCTTTTTAACAGACTGGTTACTGATCCAGATTCAGGATTGTGTTCACATTACTGGGGAGCAATCATCCGTCAGCAGTTGGGACACATTGAAGCGTGGGCAGAAAAACAAGGCTTAGAGCTGGCTGCTGATTGTCACCTTAGCAGAATAGTACAAGTGCGTATCTGGTGGTAATAGAAAAATAAATGCTTGCTCTCATTCTGAAAGCCTTTTTTCCCTCTAGTAATGCAGATTCAACCTAACCTTTTTAATCACTTGGAGCAATATGAAATTATCTCAGGCTGGTAGATCTTTAAAAACTGGATGGGAAAGGTGTGTTTACCTTTGATTCTGTTTGACCTCTCAAGAATTTTCAGTTCCATCTACTTTGGTATCCTGCTGGGCCCTATTACTGGGACAAAGCAGTGGGAAACTCATTTGATGTGGTTCTGGTCCTTTCTGTGAGTCAGTTTTAGAAGATGATCCTAGGGACTTCTTCTAGACCTTTTGTGTTTGGCTTGTGAGTTCCCATGGGGTAAACCTGTACATCAACGCTCCCAGCAATGAACGACCCCTGCTTAAAACTCTCTGTAAGGACCAAGCATGCACAGTGGACATGGACTGTTGATATTGTCAAGAAAAAAAATGTGTTGAAGTGGTAGTTAAATGCAGTGGTCAGAATTAAACAGGAAAATTCCACATACCATTTATCTGTTGGAGAATACCAACTGTACTAACTTAAAAGCAAGTGTGTGGAGCAGGGAGGTTGGGCTCCTGTTTGGTATTTTGTGTCCACCGGCAAGCCTCTTAATAAATGTTAAAATAAAAGTCATTCTGCTAATAGTTAATGTTTACTTTCCCCCTACAGGCAACTACATTACTTACTATGGATAAATATTCACCTGAAGACATTCAAAGTATTAACAGTACCTGCTTTAAACTCAATTCTCTGCAACTGCATGCATTGCTACAAAATTACCATTGTGCTCCAGATGAGCCATTCATCCCAACAGTAAGTTCATCTTGACTCAGTGGGAAGGGAACTTCTGTTTAAAGACGTTAGACATAATTTTCCTAATAATTATATTCTATTAAAATGAATGTTAACAAAATGGTGCATGAAAAACTAGTTAGCTTTCTGTCAGAAGAAGAAACTGTTTAACATTTTGGACACAATTTTTCATAGTATGCATAACTTCCTTTTAAAACCACCCCACATTCATAAGAAGAATTGCATTGAGTGAGTTCTGGAATATTTTCTAATCCAATGGGATTTCCAATGTAGTGAGGGTTAGTAGTATTATTAGGATTAAATTTGTATTTCCTGAACCCAGTGCATTGTCTGTAAAGAAGAAAGCAAAGTCTTGAGTTTTGAGTTATTTAGGATTTTATAAGCTTAACAGTTAACACATTGAATGAAGTCATTAGATAATTTGCATTTACTGCAACATTTCTATAGCATTACAGACATATGATATGTAAGCTATCAGGTTGTGTACATTATTAATAGCACTGTATATATGCAGACAGAGATTACAGTATAAGCAAATGTCAATAGCGTTGATTGGCGATGGAACTTTGGGGTTATATTGAATAATGGCCCCAAATATTGGGTGAAATGCTGCTAAATCTATGACTTCAAATTCATAAATATCTCACTGAGCAAGGTTTTATGCCTTCTGTAAAGTAACTCTTTAGTTCCCGAACGGTGTAAGTATTCTTTTTAAGCTATGAAACTAACTATAAATTGGCATAAATCAAGCAAACCTCCCTTGCTAATTGCCAGCATTTTCTTAACTAGATCTGACTATGATATCTGAGTCCATTTTTTAATTTTTAGTTAGTACAAAATACTGATTATGGAGATACCATATATAAATGTTATGCTCGTGACCTGTTCTCGGTTCTGTAGGACTTTATTGTGAACCTTTGGAGTCAGTTGTGTTTCTCAGGAAACACTGATAGTGGTGCACTCCTGTAGAGGTCTAATTTTTGATTCTACAGAGAGGCACTATATCTTGCAGACATTGTAACCAGAAGAATGCTTCTGAATGAAGAAGCATTCTGTTCTTAGGGCAACCATGTACAAATTCCAAAAACACTTAAAACTGCAATCTTCTGTTAGTCTATTTAGAAATAAGCCCTATAAATTTCTGTGGAATTTATTCCCAGGTAGGTTTGAATTTGCAACATTAATTCTCTATGTCCTTCTGTTAACTGGTATAGTGCTGGAGTCTTAACCTTCAGATAATTTTTTATTGGTAATTCATGTGTGTTGTATGTTGTTGTAACTTCTGATTTAGAAAGGCAAGAAATTCACAATCGTTCAGTAAACCTCTGGTTTATGGAAGTGGCATACTGTGTTTATGTCCACAATTCAAAATGCCAGGAAATGGTCCAGTACATTTTTGCAATATCATGCCTGCTGATGTTTTGAATCTTGGGCATAGGAACAATATCCCAAATACATAAACTAGAGGGTTTTTGAAAGACTTAATTATTCTAATCATGCCACCATAAAATTTTAAATGGCACACATCCATGGGTTAACTTGCCACAACTTATTGATTATAATGAATACTTTGGATCTTTTACATTCCTTTTGAAACTATAATATTTTTATTTATTTTCCCCCATTAAAAATACTATCAGATGTAAAGTATATCTAGAATAACTGGTTCCCCTTGAGTGAATGATGGGTAACTTCACTGATTGTTGACATACTGGTGTAACATACCTGGTTATATTACTTCTCGATTCAGTTTATAAAGTGATGTGTTACGTTTTAAAAGACAGCTTGAAAGGTTTTATTAAACCTTGTCAGCAACTTCCACTGAAAGTGATAAAAACTTTGCTGTTTGGATTTGCTTCAAATTACATCAACTTAAACTGTGTAATGCTTTTACCATTGAGTCAGAGCAACTAAAGTACAGAATCATGATGTTATATGCCATGCATAATACTGGTTGCTTCTTTCCCTGCTCCTAGGAATTAATAGAAAATGTTGTAGCTGTTGCAGAAAATACTGCTGATGAGCTCGCTCGTAGTGATGGTAGAGAAGTACAACTAGAAGAGGATCCTGATCTGCAGCTACCCTTTCTTCTGCCAGAAGATGGTTACTCATGTGATGTTGTTAGAAACATTCCAAATGGGTTGCAAGAATTTTTAGATCCTCTCTGCCAAAGAGGTTAGTGTATTTTGTCTTGCACTGTTTGGGGCAAGTTATATAATCCATATTATCTTTTTGTTGTGTCTAAAGAAGTGCCTTTTAAATCTCACACTAAAATAAATCTGTGAGTCCTAAATATTCTGTAACAATTTTGGTTTTGGTTTTGTTGAAACAAACATCGCTAGTTGTCTGTAAATTAATTGCTTGTTTGGAAATTTCTTACTTTTCTTACTTTAGTAATTCTTACTTTTTCTTAAAAGGTAATTAAAAGTAAAAAGTAATTTATTTTTTCTTACTTTTCACAAAAAATATCCCAATTTGGTCTGTTTTTACATATTTGTCTGAATACAGTGCACATGCCAATTGAATACACATTTTATTGTTGCTTACTTGATCCTTTCCATATACAGTGGTGCCTCGCATAGCAATGATAATCGATGCAGCAAAAATCATTGCAAAGCGATTTCGTTGCTATGCAGTATTAAAAAACCCATAGGAATGCATTGAAACCTATGGGCTTCAGACTCACCTTTAAGTGAAAATCCTACATACGGCGACCATTTTCGCTGCCCGGTAAGTGAGGAATCAGTCCCAGGAAACAGCGGGCGGCCATTTTTTTACCCAGCAGCCATTTTGGAACCACCAATCAGCTGTTAAAAAATCATTGCTTTGCGATGATCGGTAAGAGAAACAGGTTACCGATCATTGCAAAGCGATTTTTTCCCATTCAAAACATCGAAATGTGATCGCAAGAGCGATCGCAAAATCTTCATCACTATGCGGATTCGTCGTTAAACGGGGCACCCGTTAAGCGAAGCACCACTGTACCTTGGCCTAGCTATACTCTTCAATATTTTCCTGGTTTTTTTCTTTTTGTTTTGTTTTTAGTATTTCTGAATCTTTCAATCCTCCAGTTTACACTTTCTGGCTTCATCACGGTCAAAGGATTGATTTTCGTGGAAAAAAATGAAGGCCAAGACATCTATCCCTTTCTTACAGTACATTTGAAGGAGACATCAGGAGCTGATATTTACTGGGTTGGACAAAAGGGAACAGTATAATCTGTGCATTTGCTCTCAGAGTCATTGGAAGAAACTCAAGGCTCTAATATGGAACCAAGGTCTATCTTCAGGTGGTTAATTCGTATAGTTCTTCAGCTGCCATACCTGTATTCAGGGGTTTTTGGCTTCTGCAATTCGTATTTTCATTAGTTCTGGCAACTAACATACACTCTAATTTTCAGCCCCACTGGGCAAGCCTCTGCCTTTTGCGCGCCTGACTTCTTCCCTGCATGCATGCACACACAGTTCAGGGCCCTGCACACGCGTGGGGTTCTGTTGCAACTGGAACCAAAGGGGCTGTGCAGAGGAGGAGGAAAGCTGCACAGAGGGAGGTGGAGTTGCCAACATGCACAGCCGTGTGCCTGCTGACAATTAAAACTCAAGAGTTTGCTCTTTCCCACCATTTGAACCGGAGGCAATATTCTCACATGCCATTGAATTGCTGCAGAGAAAATGTAGCTTCTTAGTCTTCCAAAGAAGGGCAAGAATTCAATTACCTGTTGATAATTGTATGATTCACTTGAGCAGAGCCACACTGTAACAATGCTTTGCTTGAGATAAGAGCATTTTGAAAAACCTGCCCTGGCTTCGGCACCCCTCGCACCCATAGTCTGGTTCCGATATGTGGATGACACCTTTGCAATTTGGAGTCACGGTGAAGAAAAATTGGAAGAATTTCTCAACCATCTCAATAGCATCCACCCAGCATCCCGGCTGGGACACAAGGTCTACAGAAAACCCACCCACACAGACCGGTACCTACACAAAAACTCCAACCACCACCCACAGCAAAAAAGAGGCATGATCAAAGAACTGTGAAGCTCTACAGGCAAATGACTACTCCAAAACTGAAATCACAAGAGCCATCAAACCTAGAAAACAACACCGAACTGAAGTAGAAAAACAGCCACCCACAAATAAAGTATTTCTGCCATACATCAAAGGGGTCACGGACCGCATGGGGAA